ATATATATACAAAACATATCTACATGTGCATAGGTATATAATCGTGTATGCTGCTGTATATTGTCAATCGTTTTTTGACATTTTTACATGTACATACCAATTTTTTTTACATGATTGTGTATGTCATGTATTATTTCACTTGTAAACCCTGGTTTGAGACGGGTTTTTTTTGATAGAGGCAGGAAGTCTATGATGCGTATCGTTTTGCCAGTTTGGAATGAGTTTCCAGAAACGGTTCACATTTTGTTAACGTTTCAGGTGTTTAGCAGCGCATATACTGCATTTTTCTACGTGTTGTTTTCAGCGCAAGCCAATGCACACTTATCCGCAGCTGAATATTCTCGCTCATTATTCGGGTCTCATCCCGATTCCCTTCGTTGTGTATAAATAGGATCCGTTCTTTGCGCATACAGTACTGGCTGCCACATGTGGCCTGTGCCTGCGGTTTTTTGGAGAGAATGCCTGTTCAATTGCGGACGTTTTGATCATCGTTGTGCTATTGGGCTACTGGTCGATTGTAAGTTTCTTCGTATGGGCTCGGCTGTGGCGAGGCGCTGCCCATGAAGTGTTGGGATTGACTTCTTCTGATTGTATCCGACAGTATTTTCACCCAAAAAGTGTCTACTATGCATCTTGGAGAGTGGAATCTCAGTTATATTGCGTCCACTCAGCCATTTCAATAGTATCGTTGTGGTGCCGTAGAGACCCACATACATATATGTCTATTGGTCTTGTAATGTACTTTCTGTGGTGGTTGTATCGGATTTCACTATACAATGTATGCGCGCGCCGGACCTGCCCACTATCAACGAAGCTAAAGAGAATTCTACGAGGCATTTGTCTCGCGCTTCTCGTGATTGTGAGAACGAGTGGTCGTATGTTTATATATTCCTATTTAAATGTTATCAAGGGTACAATTATGCAGTAGATATGACTGATTATATAAACGCATTTAAACGTTCTCATGTGTATAGTTATGTAGTAGATATAACCCTGATTGATAATCATATTCAAATGTTTTCATGGTTTCATGGCTATGACTATGTCGAAGAAATAACCTTGGTTATATGAATCTATTCAAATGTTATCGTGAGTATGACTAAGTAGAAGAAATAACCCTGATTATATGATTATATTTATATGTCATCATGGGTATAGAATAGTAGAAGAAATAATGTGTTATATAATCCTATTCAAATGTTATCATAGGTATGGTCATGTAATAGAAATAGCCCTGATTATATAATCCTATCTCAATGTTACCAATGTTATGACTATGTAGAAGAAACAACCCTGATTTTATAACCCTATTCAAATGTTATCATATGTATGTCTATGTAGAAGGAATTACCCTTATTATAGAATCCTATTCAAATGTTATCATGAGTATGACTATGTAGAAGGAATAACGCTTATTATAGAATCCTATTCAAATGATATTATGGGTATGGTTTGTCGAAGAAATAACTAAATATAACACGAACAAGCTCACCGCATTTAGTTGATTTGAAGCCGGATGGAAGTAGTAGTCGTGCTCAAAGGCCTGTGCTACCAACGAGTCTCTAGCGTGTTAGCTTATCTGTAGGCTCCAACAACATCTTCACAGGAAATGTCTTGGATAGTGAAGGAGAGTGTGCATGAGTATCCCTCGGACCGCGTGCTGCTCGGACTGTCGCGGTATGTAGAGCTCGACCGATCGAGTGGCATGAAAACTGCGTGTGATGACTCTTGTCTAGTGCTGTATAGTAGACGATCGTAGGCATAGACACCTCTATCTGATCTGCAAGTGTGCTCGATGTAAAGTGCGATTATGCATGCTAGATAGGAAACTGGAAGTCTCATCGAGGTGACTTTTATTTGCAGTCTCAAAATCGGGAGTTACACCATATTATCGTTCGGGTTATACAATTTAAACAATGCGTACATGGCTCTCAGAGAGGTGGAAATGGTGCCAGCCTCAAAATCGAGCTGAACAGGCAAAGGCATGTATATCCACCTCATGTCTATTCTTATATACCGTTGGTTTACTATGCCGAGATTCTCCTGTCACAGGTACAGTATGTATGTGCTGAGTCTTGTTGAACAAGTCTGAGATTTATTTTATTTATTTATTTGTATATTCTCCTCGTAGGTTTCCCGAGACAGTCGGATGCGCCTGTCTTTTGGTCACGAGTTGGCTGTCGACGAGCCAAAGCACCGATGCAAAGGTATGGCATGACACGGGACACGATTCACTCATATACGCTGTTAAAAAAAACGGTCGAAAAACCATATATCAGTCTCAGCAGATGCACAGGTCCAGAACACCACCAGAATTCAGAGCGAATGTCGATATCGTCACAGAACCCATGTGTAGTAATTATATGACGACACCAGCCTTACTACGAGCTGTGCAACCAACAGTCCATAAGATGTGGGCTTATCTCGTGAGTTGTCAACTCTTATCACCGCGGCAATGTCTCCTCACAACTGTCTCGTCGTTTCAATCCGCGCAAAGGTGAGACTGTTAGGGTTTGCCACACTAGCTTACTCAACAGCTGTGTATGCGTCAGGGTTCTTTCCCGAATCCGAGCTTCTCCTGTCCGTTGTTGATATTCCGATTGTGAGTGATTACTGGTACGAGTTCTGTTGCTACGGAGCGTTGCCAGCCGTAATCATGGACATCTCATCCAGAAGTGCGCTATTGGTGGGAGGTATGTATGTTGCTCATATGACGGTATCGCATACGAAAGTGGAATTCATCCACGCACAAGAAGTTAGTTTCATAGGTAGCCTTACAAGGACGCACCCTACTGCAGCCTTTGATAATCGAATATACTTGCCGGCCTATCGGATACAGGCACTTGTATGGAATCAATCTATACTCACATTTGAAAGTTACTCGTGCGTGTACTCGCCCATAGCAGGCTCTTACTGTGTCAATATACCTCGTGTCTAATACAAATTGAGTTGTTATTGATTTCAGAAATGAGTGGTCAGCGATCACAAAACGTGTATGGTTCAATCTGTACAGCCGAACACCATATATCGCGTTAGCGACAGCTCAAGTTTGTGGCTCCAATTTAACTGACTTTTGTTCACGAAATGTTATAACTATGCTGCAGGCATCCTTACGACTATGACAAGCATTCGCCCACTGATGTTTGATGTAGCGGAATTAATACCCGAGGATAGGCTGATCTGGTTGCGGATAGTGAGTGTACCTCTGCTCTGTGTAGCGGTGGGTATGTACAGGCCGGTGGCTGTAGTCAAGGGCAGCTATAAGAAAACGACATCGAAAAAAGATCAGTAGAACCAACTATCTCAAGAATTCAAAAATAAATAAATAAATAGCACGGCCACTGCAATAAAGTGCATTTACTGAGCGTATTTTAAATAGATACCATAGTTGCGTGAGCTTTTAATAACAAAAATTGAAATTGAAATTGTCCTGCGAATGTTAGTCTGTTCAGTCTTACTTTATTTTTCTTATTATTATAGAGGTCGTGTGAACTTGTCTCAAAAATGTATGACACGCCCTAGTTCGTAATACTGACGTTCCCGAGCTTTCATCACTGCCTCTGTGTTCGGTGCGACATGTATTGATATGGCATAGATTGTGGAAGTTATCGATATGGATGGGCACTATGCTGTTATGAATTTATCAATCCCTAATCATGAATTCAAGAGTGTTTGGCGTGTCAGATAAGTTCTAAAATGATCCATTGTGCAGGTACAGTGCGAATTTGGTCGAACGTTCAGAGTCTGTCATCAAGCTTACCCTTTACACGCCTGTGGTGCAGTGATTGTGATAGCGTTATAAAAAACTAATCACAGCTCGATGATACATAGCGGATGTAGTTACAAACGAAGTATGAAACGAGCAAGCCATATTCTATAATCTATAATGTAGTGTACTGTTCAATTACGTGGAGAGGTATAAAAGCGGCATTTAAAAAAGTACGCGACTACAAACATACGCGCGGCAGACCGGCAGTGCTCACACGAGGTTGACATTCTGAATTTTGTAGTAGAGAGGTGCTGTCATGAGTCATCTCAAATTCCGTGTGTTTGTGAAAGAAAAAAATGCCTTCTATTTTTAAAAACACTGTAAACACTGAACAGATCATGACTCTCTCTCAATACATACATACTACCCTGCTCTCTCTCTAGTGGTAGAGAAATTAAAATTAATAACAGAGTGCAGAGTTGCGGTTGTCGCGTTGTATTTATTTATTTAAAAACCCCCCCCCCAAAAGGAACAATATCATGCCGCTCAGACGGCTCTGTCCCTCTCGACTTAGGAGACCAGTTAAGACTGCGACCACTAAGTCTGACTTTTGATTTTGCGACCATTATTTCTGACGCACAAGTCTGACGCGTTAAAAAATCCGATCACTGTTAGAGGACAAAGAAGTAAAACCATTGCCAATACTCGAAAAAGAATAAAGAAAATAATATAAGATAATTTAAAACTTTTAGAAATTTCGACCAGTCACCTCTCGTTAAAGAGAGCTATCATTCAATACACCCACGTATAACTATGATAATGTTTTTGTTGGGCACAGATTCCATTCTCGGTGTGTTGTATTATATTTTTTAGAAAACAAATAGATATATACATATTTATATACATATACGCAAGTATACTTATATGTATATGTTTTTGTATATACATGTATTTGTATATGTATATATATATATATATATATATATACTGAGCGGCTGGCAAGC